CTCTGGAGACGATCAGCTTCGCCGTCATTCGCTAGAAGAAACAGCATAGAACTTCATCATCTATTTTCGCCGACGTATTTTAATGCTCGTTGTTTACTTTTTGTGAAAAAAATCTCAGTTTCTGTCGTCGACGACGACGATAATGGAACAAGAGTGTACTGGGAACGTCGATAATTGGCTGAGTACATCAATATTTAACGAACCCCGTTACGGCTTTGTCGTTGGCGCCATCGTTACCTCGCAAATCCTTGCCGGCCAATTATCATTTTCACTCTCTCGTCGGGTTCGCGATTACGTCGGTGCATGAGCGGAGTGCATTCATTAACGCGCCATCGCAGAGCGTCCAGCGTGGAATCTATTATACTACGTCGTAAGCTAGGATAGCTTTGAACCATGATATCGTCCTACATTTAGCGCTGAATAGCCAGGAGGTCTTCCTATAGTTGATGCGTTTCGTATTTAATACTTGTATGTTTCCATATAAAATGAAAACCATGTTTCGCATTGAGTGCACATCGATAATACAAGGCATTTCCGGCATAACTATTGTGTGATGGTGTTACATTTTAGAGGATACGCACGGTCCATTTGTATGAAATTGAGTGAATATTTGTTAAATGCGCGCTCGATAATAGTTAAATAGGATTTAATTCCATTTAAATAACATTCACTAATACAGACTCGTTGACACTGCACGTTTCTATATTATATCTAATTTATACCACGTTTCGTAACAAATCATGAGCGACCTATATTAAGTCTGCTAATTGCAATATTAATATTACCGTTTTAGCAAAATGTTAAGCGTTTTCGCAAAATGGTGACAAAACGGCGTTTTATTCCCTAGAATTTTAAGGCTAAAGCGAATTTAACTTGGACTTTAAACCGACACGATCGCGCGAGTGCTCGCGTAAGGTCGAGTTCGAGAAATGGGTTGGGATTTATTTTGACGGGGGCAGAGGGGCGGGACGCTTAACAAACGCACGAGGGTGACAAAAAACGCATTAGTGGCTAATTCGGATGTATTTACGTCGCTCGGTTCAGTGAAAACACACGGTGGTGAAAAAAAATGCCGAGTCAGAAAAATATATGCCGTAACGGTGAGATTCCATTCGCCGGCAGAATTTTATTATCTTTGCGTATTTTGAAACGCGAGTTGCCCTCCACAGAACACATTTCGACTCGAAAACCAGAAATGGGAATTACGAGGGAGCTTTATGCCAGAATTTTCGTATTCAGCAACTTTATACAAAACTCGAGTCAAAATTTCGGTTCAACATACAAGTTCAATCGAACTTTGAGGATCAAATAGAGATAAAATTTCGAAATATATAATACTATATAGGTTATTGTTCTTCTTCGATGCTACAAATAGTTACTTAATTCTATTTCTTCATATTGAATTTTTTATCTTTAAAAGAACTCTTCAGAATTAATAAATATTCGATTATCTTAACATTCCATAATATTTAATCTTTATGCTAATATTTAATCTTTATGCTTAATTTCCATAAGTAACGTATTAATCGTGTAATTTACTTAATTGCAGATAGAATATGTACGATAAAAGTGAATATTAAATAATTTAATAATAAATAATAATAATAAAGCTTAGCGAGCAAATATAAAAAATAGATAAGTTAAATAAATTTTGTTTCTTCATAATCTCTTTATTATTTTTTTTACTAGGCTATTGGAAATATATGAAATATATTATTCTAGACTGCTCTACTACTACTCTACTCTCTACTACTACTCTAAAGGTTTTCGCAGTTTTATCTTCGACGTTCGAATATAACGAGACTTAAATTGGACATGCTTGCATCAAAATAATATATTTCAAATATCATTAAATGCTAGCATAAATATTTACACTTCAACCTAACATAACACCTTATTGTTATTACTAACGGTCTGTATGACAAATTTTTTTGTTATGACATTTTGCGTATGTATCCGTGATAAAATAATTCTCCCTATCGATTACGTAAGAGATTTCTTCGAAGTCGCTTTGTTATGTCACATTTCAGTTAATTTATCTCGTCTTTGTCGAGACATTTATCTAATCGATCGCTATCCGACGATCCTTACTTGGTAGACTTGGACAGAAAAGCGCAACTCTCACTCCCACTCCTATCCGTTTTTCTCCCTCGGGCATACTTCATAGCCAATGAGATTTTTCGGGCTGCAGCTAGCAGAGACTTTCCGCGTTTCCGACTTTTTGCAGAACGGATTTGTAAAATTGATCTCGCCCGTAGACTTCATGTTTTACGACTTTACGGACGAGAAAACGTGCGAAAGAAAGACGATTTATTTCGCGCCGACTTTCCCTCCCGTGCCCAAGCATAAACGCTCCAGACGGAGTAGATGCACCTGCATCGCGTGATGTGCTCGTACGTGTGCAAAAAGAGGAGGGGAATAGGGTTGGGGCTAGAGAAAGGGAGAGGGAGAGAAGTGGAAGGAGGTTGAAAAGGACTCGGTTCGTCGACGTGTTTCCTCCAAGCTGCTTATCGAGCACCTTTCTCCTCGCAGCACGCCGGGGGCTCTTACGTTCTCCATCCATACTCTTCGTACCTTCTTCCCCCGCCTCTTCTCATTTATTCTTCTACCTGGCCTTGCTAGCGACTTCAACATTCAACGGTTGTCTGTACGGCCCTGCATTCGCGAGCGGAAGCGGATAAATCTATGCCGGCTTTCAACCTTACCTAACCACGCGAGCGAACGATGAAGCTGGAAAAAAGTCGCGAAGCGAAAAAAAATGAATTTCTTTCGCCCCAATCCCATCCCGCTCCTCCTTTTGTGATCCGCGGACTGTTGTCCCTACTCCCGGTTTATCTCGTTTCACCACTACACTCTCGGCGAGTTTTCAGTGACTCCCTCTCTCTATTGGCGTTTTACGTTGTCGAAGGGAAACCTGAAAGTCTTTTTTCTTCCCTTTTTTTTTAAAGCGGAACTTTGGTCGGACCATGTGTTTTAAGGTGACGCGCGGGTCAGGGATTTAGAAATTGAAAAATCTCACGATCGAGAAAAGGATTCTTCGTTCCGTGAATCTCGCAATCCAAGACTTTCGGAGTAAAACAATTTCACAAGCTAAGGATTCAATTTCCCGATAAAAGACTCACATTTCATGATTTAGGAATATGTGCGAGTCTACGGATGTTAGAATCCAAGAATTTAAAGATCAAAGAAAAAAGATTAAAGAAAAGGAAATTTAAAATGCAAAGTTGGATGTAAAAATTTAGGAAAGATATAAAAATTTCATTAAGACTTCTGTTGGCACACATATCGCGTTAGATCCATACGTGGAAATCATTCCGTTCTTTTGCACCTGTTTGTTACCGTGAGGTGTGCGAATAATGAAAGCCGTCACATGTCGCAAACGTCACGTCGCGATTAGAGCAATTAATTTCTCACGAAATCAAGGGAAGGGGAGGGCGGTTGGAAGGGGAACAGTGCAGTCGCGCCGATTTTCGGCGGAATTAACTGTTGTTTATTATAGTTGAAAGTTTACGGGGAGAGTTGACGGGTCGCGAACCGTAGCGGCGAAAAGGTTGAATTCTCCGACGCGGCAGTTATGCCAATATGAAATCCTTCCGGTTTGCACGTGCAACGAAGTTTACGTTATTTATAGTGTATCTTAGCTCCAACTTTCGATGGTAAAATAACTCGCTCCTCTTCCCCCTCTTCGCTGGCCTCTCCCTCGTTGCTTTTTATTTGGCCGACGACGCTCGCAACGAGAGAAACGGAAGCCGTGCGTTATCGTTGTCGTTTTCCCTAATGTTCTCAGAAACTGCTGAAAGATTCACGAACGTAAAAAAGGATCGTGCAGACTTCGCCTAACTAAATCTTACGGCCTGCTTGCTTTCAACTTTAAAGAAGATACGGATAATGCTCCCCGTGTATCTTGCCGCGGCCAAGAAAATCGTAGTTTTGTTCGTTGTTTGCAAAGATAAAGCGGCATAAACACGACCGACATTTATCGCGCGTATATTCGCATGAATAAATTATCGGATGTTAATCTGATGTCACACACGGGATTATAAAGGGTTAACTGTTTCGCCGCAAGGAAACGTGCAATTTATCTCCTAACTATCGTTTCACGGCTTATTATTAAGTATATTTTGTGCGCAGGGAGGGGGGTATGCAAAATGATACTTGATGACACGCTCGTGTCTGTCCGGGCGAGTGCGTAATTGTACACGTCATTATCAATAGTATTATGCAGCCGACATTCGCTAGGATCGAACTCGATTTTCGACCACACTCGATTTGCAGTCGCTCAGAAAAATTTTCGAATAGTTATTCGGTTGTTTATTATTTATCATATTATTGCGTTAACAATTACACACACTAAATTCTTCAACATTGCAGGATAATATTCTTTAGACAAATGCTCGCGTGACAAATATGCGCAAAAACAATATGCTAATTCGATGCATTAATATATTATAGATACTGATACTTAACAATTTACATAATAATGCTGTTTGGTAACAGATGAAAATGATTAACACAAATCTCTATTTTCTGATTAATCCATATCTTTTATAAGCTACACAATTCTACTGCCAAAGGTGATGAATTGTAGTAGAATTGATGAAACAAGTAAATTACGCGTGGAAAAAACTAAAGTTAGCATCTGAGTGTAACCCGACAATCCGAGTAAGCGTTTAACGTCTAATGTCACGGAGCTTCTTTCTGCTCGGATATCAACGACAACGGTCAATAGTTGCAACAGGCTAATCTCCCGAACTACGACGAGGATTTCGCGACGCGACGAGACGCGACACCGAGAGGATAATCCCGCGACAGAGCACTTAAGGCGTTTAAACTTTAACCCCTTCGATTCTTGGCCGGTTCACACGTCTTATGCGAGGTAATAGTCGATCGACGGCCTCCCGTAACGTCCCGTCGGAAAGCAGGAGACATCGAAGAAAATCAACGGCCGAGATTTTACGTAACCAGGCCAGGTTGTGTGAATAATTCAGATTAGCACTCACCGACTACGTTGAGGCTATAGTTGAGCGACATCTTCGGCTCGGTGCTGACCTGACACTCGTACACGCCGGAGTCGCGCTCCTGCGGCGACTTGATCTGCAGCGTCCAGTTTTCCGACTTATCCGGATGAATCACTAAGAACCTCAAATCCGACGTGTACATCAAAATACCCGCGCTCAAGATATGCATGTCCCGCTTGCGCATCCAGGACACCTGTAATATAAATGGCAAGCCTAAATTGATAAAGAAAAGAAACAAATGGCAAATAGATTTTACGTAAATTCATCGTAGCTAATCGCGGACCAATGTTTTCACTTTTGTATCTAGTTATCAATATAACACGTTCTTTTAATGCTAGCGAGTATGGATTTATTAAGAAATGAATTTGTGCTAATCATAATATTTATTTGTACTTGAAAATGAGATATTAGTATCTCTTTTGATTTTAATTTAGCATATTATTTTCCTCGATTTTTGGTACGTTTCTCTATTGTTAACGTCAAATTTTACAAAAATATGTAGATATTAAAATATATAAAATGTAACGTGTTTTAACATGTGGGAGCAATTCTCAAAAATATGATAAGGAATCATTTAACAATTATGTCATTCTAAATTTGGATATTTTTAACACCCCTATTTTCCTTTTGTTACAATTTCATCACAAAGTATTTGCTTCTTCCAATATTACGTGACATGTGAAATTATCTCTCTTCGTTCCGCCGGTATATAAAATAAAAAATAGCTTATAACCATATTGTGAGTAATAATTATCAAACTGCACACTACTATCTTTTTCTAATAATTGATAATTTTTAAATATATAATATCAAATTAATTACTTGATTTTATAATTTTGATCAGTAAAAGTTGTGTTTTTAAAAGAATAAATATTTCGAAATTAACATTTTGCTTATTAACATAAAATCATGTCAAAACTTAAAAATGTTCACTAAATGTAACCAAATGCGTCACGAATATAAAGAGTAGATAACCACGCACATCTATATTTACAAATTATGCGCATTTAATATGACGTTCTATGGCCTTTACTCCCCCTTCTTTTCCTTCCCTGCTATTACAGACCGTCACGCAAGCTAATTGACTTTCCCTTCCCTTCGTGGTGTGACATAATTGTTGAATGGCCCCTAACGACTCTATCTGTTACATCAGAGTACCGTATAGTTGGATCGATCGATAGTCGGCCTAAGTAAACTTTTAATTGGGAAGAGATTCAAATTCAGGAACGCGTTATAAATGTTTAGCACCGGAAGTTCCCCCGAGCGCCAACACCGCGTTGCTGTTACAATACTGGCCCGGGAGTCTGCAACGTCTTGGTCGTGTTAGAACAAAGACCACGGAAAGCACCCACGGCGCCGTAAATCCCCGGCCGGTCGACGTGCGTGTCGCAAACGATCTCTATAGTCTCTCATTGTTTTGCTCGCGAACATGTCTGCCGGCTATTTAATGCGCCGTCAGAGTTCCGGGGCGTAATTTCCGAGCGCGCACGTTGAAAACGGCAGCCAAACGCAATTATCAGGTCTTTCCCCTCGCGGAAGTCTTTTCTGTGCCCTGCGGTTTGGACTTTTTCACCCCGGCAGTTGCATTGAACTCGAATAAATTAGCCCTCGTGCAGACGAGCGTGCTGGATGGCGTGCTTTAAGTGCAGTTTCGCGATTTCTTTCCACGGAACGAGAAATAATGTCTCTGAGAAAGATATCCGATTCGAGTTACTTTTCTCTTCGCGTACATCCGATTCTTAATTTGTCTGACGAAAAAGTTGTAACAAATGTCTATGTAATATTCTCATCGTTTATACACAGTAAAAAATCTTGTTTCCAAATAAAAATTTTCTTGTGTATTATCAATTTTTAATTAATTCAATATAAAATTAACATATATTTGATGTGTCACCATTTGTGTCCCGTTTTTCTGTGTTATATTTATATCAATTTAGTAACTTAACATTTTTTATCATTTAAAAATAAAAGATTATTTCGGTTTATTTTAACATATTGTATTTGTTTTCTCAACATTTTGCGTTAAATCGATATTCAATGTGTATAAATGTAAATTAACACATTTTACACATTTTACACACATAATCAACCTTTACTGTTGATTAACAAAGATATTAATTTTACTAAATATCATTGGTGACATGTTTTACACGTTAAAATTTAGTTAAAATAAGTTGTGTTAATCTTACCCGCAGTAATAGTCATCATCTTGAAACTTTAGCAATACGAAATACATGTGTAACTAAAGTATAGCAGTAATATTATACTTAAGATAAGTGACTCAAGATCCAAAGTTTCTTAGTTTGAGTCCCTTCAAACACATTTCTTAGATACAATATTAATTTAATCAAA